GACAATTGCGAAGTAAATTTGGTGGAATACCATCTGGCCCTGATGAATTTTTACGAGGGAGATTTATAAGTTCATCAAAAACAGCTGCGAGCTGGAGCTGAATCTCTTCCGCATTGTCAATCTGTCGAACATGGTTTTTGAAATCTGGGATTAAGTTCACGTTGTCCTCTTCATACACTGTGGAGAAGAATTCTGCAAAAAGATTGGCTATGGCTGCATTACCCTGAGCTTTGTTGTTCCCAAAAAACACTTCTTGTGGATAACTAGAAACCTTTCGAAGTCTGCTAATGTAGCTCCAAAAATCCCTAGGGTTTTCACGAAAATTTACTTCTAATGAAGCAAAATATTCGTCATGACATAATTTATGTTCAATTTTGCATTGTTCACGTAGAGCAGAGAATTGTTGATAAGAATCAGTGGAAGAACATGTTTTGTAAAGCTTGTGTGCAGCTTTTTTCTTAATAACTAGATTTTTTAACTTGGGTGAGAACCAAATAGGAAATTTATAGGAGCACTTCACATATTGTCTGGCTAGTCAAACGGCAAACTGCAAAAGAATTTGCTGCTTTGCCAAACTTGACGGAATAGCTATTTTCCTAACTATTTCTCTTCCCGCAAGAGTTAGGAACTATATTTTTTCTCCGAGCATACTAAAGCTGATGTTACGAAGAGTTTAATTTAAATAAAATGCGATTATGCAGAAGGTAGAATTAAAAATGTATTAAATAGTTATTTATGATATAAGTGTTAAAAGTACATTTTTAAGGCACGCATGTGAAAGTTTGCAGAATGAGCGAAGCGAATTCTGCAATTCACATAAGTGCCTTAAAAATAGGTACTTTTAACACAAATATCATACAATATTTTTTCTACAAACGGTCATAAAAAGCAATAACCAGTAACAAATTGGATTTTTAAATGAATAATAAATTGGAAGCATCTTTCCTACATAAAATTACTGAATTTGGCATTTGTCAAAAGGTCCAAACAACCAGCACCTTGTTTTACAGGTAATGAAATGTCTTGTCAGTTTCACAGGTCAGTTTCTTGAAAGTCTGTCGTGGTCAGTAATGCTTTTTGCTTAAAATGCAACAAAATACAGAAGAAAAAGAGGGTTGCATCGATCCCTTGAAAAATATAGATGAGGCGGCCAATCGGGCTACCTCAGTTGTTCAAATTTCACCATTAATATCAATGTAAATAACTGAAAATACAAACTTTTTTTGACGTTCGCACTCAAAATTTGATGTTTCATTTTTAACACTAGTGCTATAAAGACTTTATGGCACTAGTGCGATAAAGTAACATTTTTAATGCTTCGGGGGGGTTTTAAAAATTGCATTTTTAACACGTTTGTAGAAAAAGGTATTTATAAAAAGGTAAAGGTACAGGTATAGGTGTATCAACAATACAAACAATTCCATGTCACAATGATTATTTCAAACTCTTCCCGCACCGGTGCGGGAAGAAAGTCTTCCCGCACAGCAAATCGTGCGGGACGAGCTATTTCCTGCACGCTCGTAGAAAAACAATAATAAACAACTTGGTGACATATTTTTTTTTTGCTATATGGGCGTATGTAGTGTTTTAAAATAGAAAAAGATCCGGCAACATTGCGAAATGATGGATGTGGAGAGGCGTGATTATTCAGAGGCATGATTCTATTGGTTAAAGCCTGAACGACAGCACGCAGTGGCGTGGTTATTGGCGAAACTAGAAAAAAAAAATCTAATAATTTTATTGGTTTATTTCCTTGGTGTTTCCGGTGCCACTGAACCCAAAGACATAGCTGTCATCAGACAGTGTCAGTTGAGGTGTCGGTGAATATTTTTAGGTTACGCCGCACTGTTCTTTCCTCTTTCGTCTCTACCAAGTTACCACTTGCCAGACTATACTTCTTTGGAACAAATAAATCAATGCATTGATACATGTAATCATAAAATATTTGGGTAGCTGTTATTAATCAAATAAAAGTCACTCCAGTCAAGAGCAGACAAGTATTCATTTATTGAATAAAAATCTGCTCTTTTAAAATCATAAATGCAATCCTCATATCCAACCTTGCACTGGAAATAACCAACCGGAACCTCAAATTCGTATGGCTTATGCCTGAAACTCTCCTCAAATAGTGGATCGAGAGGTACATTTACAGAAATTGTGGAAATTTTTGAGAATAAGAGATCCAAAAAGGTACCATGCCTGTTGGGTACCTGGTTGCACTGATAAAAACCAAGATATGCAAAAGAATCACAAATTATATTAGCATTAGAGTTATCATTCACTGGTACCGAAAAATAAAGACCACTATGAACATTGGCCCAAATGGCCTCTCTTAGATTATAATCACCAATCAACACTGGCACACATTGAGGCTTTTGCGAAATGATTTCCTCTACAATTGAATAGTGCATCTCGTGGGATTCACGAGGAGATTCAGGAGGAATGTAGATAGCACCAAACACAAATAACTCTTCATTCACTATGACCTCTACGAAGAGAGCAGCTTTTATTCAGGTTACAGCTTCTCAAGAGTTTGGATAGTAACTGCTCCTGACAGCCACAAGCACTCCTCCTCCAACTACATCATGATCTAGATGTTGTAAACGGTCCTGTCTATAAACATTATAGCCTTGAAGGTCAGTCTCGCTATGCAAAAATTTATCAGAAAGCCAAGATTCAATCAATATAATGATGTCATAATCGTTCAATGTCACAACAGTTTTCAAATGATGAAGCTTAGTACGGAGACCGCCCACATTGTGAAAGTAGCATTTGAGGGGGTTTGTTAGTTTTTTGGCATTGTAGCTGCAAAAGTGGAAGCTGGATGTGGATTACGTACTGACTTATGTAGAATTTTGGTGGTCAAATACAAATTTCCGGAACAAAATGTTGGCAGGCCAAAAGTCGCATTTGCTTACTGTTTCTTTGCAGCAGGATGGAATGCCTATCTTGAATGAATTGAAATCAGCATTGCTTTTTAACAATCTAACATATATATCCTCGCTGATACTAGCCTTGTCCTTCACATAATCCATCACCATGTTATTAGGGACAGAATTATGGACACAACCAACATAAAACCAGGAGCGCTTGATGGGTTCAACTCGGGGTACACCTTTTAGTACAGTTGAACTGGCTCCAGTTCCACAGGCAAGCGCATAGGTTTTGATTGCAGATGATGGTGTATTTGTGACATTAGTAGTTGGTCCTGAGGAATTGGTTTCTTGACTGGTCAACTTTGGTAGCTGATGTCCTGAGGAGGTGTCACATGTTGCTATTGCAGGACTAATAGTACTCGATTTCTGAATGAGATCCACCACTTCTGTTTTGGCACTGTGAAATACTGACTTAAAAGCATTCAACATGACCCGTTTGCTCCTTTATCAAATAATCATGTTGGTTTGAAATTTTGGTGGTTAAAGTGCTTTTGAGATCATTTATATTGTCTGTAATTGATATAAAGATCTCAATTTTCAGGACTGTAATCAAGTCATTCAGTTTACTTGAAAACTGAGAATCAATCACTGAACGAATTGAGTTGCTTAGTGAGTCAAGGTTGGATCCAGAAACTTCGGCCTGATTTGTATCAAATACATCATCAGAAATGTCCACTGATGCTTTAGGGCGTACAGGACCTCCTATAGCACTACGACAGTCTGGACAAGCGAACAGCATCACTCTGGAAGGACTAGGAATGCAGCGTATCTCTTGGGCTTGAAGTCCAGTGCATAGCCGACAAACAATTTTAGAACATAGGTCACCAAAAGGTTCCAGTTTTCTTCATTTTATCAGTGTGACAATCTTTAGAGCATTTATAGCAAGGTTTGGACATTTTAAACAATATTTATTTGCCAAAAGCATGCATACTTAACCTCAAAAATACTTCTGTGAGGTAACAAGACAAAAACAGACCAATCAGAATTGAAAAGAACAATTTGCACGGCTTAAAAATCGCGTTTTAGCAAATTTTTTAAAATCAAAACAAACAAGGTAACATAACCACACACACACTTGCTGCTGTTGTCAGAATATCGAAAAAAATAAGCGAATTGTCAAAGAATGTTTATATCAAATTTGAGCCAATTCTGATGTGCCGTTTTTTTAAGTAACTTAAAACAAGTTTCGAAAAATCAACCCATCAGAGCACAGCATTCTCATCGTTGTTGCGGCCTTAAGCGGGACACACAGTAGAGAAAAACTGACAACGCCAGTGGAATCTACGTAAGAATATCTATAAGAATCCGTTATTACCTTTTCGATCACATAATATGAGAGAACCGAGATACAAGGGTTGTTCCAAAATGCAACATTTTCAAAAACACCTTAGCCGCTTTCGGATGCAGAGTGCGAAGCTCCTAGAACACTTCACACCTGTTATACTATTGGTCATACTCCATGCGTTTTGCACGCGAACGCTTGATACCGAACGGGTCAAATTGTAGCTGGAGTACTTCTGAGTAACTCAGGAGCGCTCAAAAGGTGACACCCGAAAGCAGCTCAAATATCTAAAAAACAGAAAGAGCCATGACAATTCTGTTGGCTTCATTTTTCGTTTGACAAAAAAGTAGCCAGCGTTCGTGGAAACCGCGTTCTTCTAACTCCAATAGCAACCGAGTTATCCCTTATGGACAAGTTGGACAACCAAAATGGGACACCCTGTACATATATTTTCTTTTTAAATTTTTACTATTTTACTTATTTACTTCCCGAGTCCATAGCTTTTTTTTTTCACTAGATCTATTTAAATAACATTCTCTTCTACTTCTACTACTTACGTCAAAACCCAATGACGAACTGGTACAAGTTATTTACAAAAATCAACTTTAAACACTGGTAGTGCCATTCCATCTAACAATATACATATTACTAATCTGTATTCATACAACTACATTTAAGAAAGTATTATTATCACAACATAGTTTTTTCTGTATAAACTCAATAATCAAAGAAAATATGTAATTGTCCAATGAGTTCAACAGAATTTATGTTTTCTTTTTTAGGTTCGTCAAATGTGCAGACATTTTAATATCAATTGTTTCACAATAAAGAAGCATTTAGATTGACATGATGCCGACAACGCGTGATCGGTAGGTATTTTCAATTTACTCAAATTTATTTATTTACTATATTGACGAAATACGTTTTTAGACTCGAGGATCAAGTGTTGTCCCTCGGAACCCTATCGTTTTTTTTTTATTCGGTTGTTTTTAGTTTTGTTACTTGCCCCAATGGTTTTTGCTGCTAATGTTGACAATAGCCCAAAATTGTACTAGGGCCTTAGTACGATAATTGCTCAAGTTTAATTTAGTGTAGTCACCTGTTTTTTAATATTAAACAGGATCTATTCTCTAACCTGGCTAGCCTGAACCATTGTTTTTTTTTTTATGTATATAATCTTATGTATACTTTTTTTTTGTAAGTATGTTTTCATACTATATTATTATTGTTTTTAAGTACTAACATTTGTTTTCCCATTTTTGTAGCCAAAGTTACTACTAACACATTTCGGGATTATCTGATCTTTAGGTTGTGATTTTTATTATTCATTATTTTTTTTTTTGTTGTTAAATCTTACACTCTACAATATTTTGAACAAAATAACCTCAAGAATTATGAATTTTCTTCTAAAATCATTTTACTAGAAGCCACATTTGCTGTGGTTCAAACTCAAAAAAATGATTGAGAAATTGTTGATTTGCCAAATTATGGTGTGCAATAAGGGCAGTTAGGTATTAGCTTTGTTCCAGCCCAGCTGGGAAATGTACATTTCACCGTCAGGATTCTGCGCAAAACGTAAAATTTGTGCGTAGAATCCGAAATTCGTATACAAAGTGCTTCCGAAACCATTCTTGGGAGAGATAATGAATGGATTTTAGTGACTTTCCCAGTATCCATATATAGATTACTCTGTTTTTGTATCAAATTTACTCAATCAATAGCTCTCTATGAAAACTGTCGTGCACAATACAAATGTATGATAAAGTCTTGAGCCATGATTTCAAGCTATCGGCTCGAAAATGTTGCCAAGGAATGGAATATTCAAGGACTTTGTAAAATTCTCCATCCATATTTTTCAGATACAACCAAATAACTGAGATCTTTGATTTCTCACGTCTAACTTAACTGCACTAAAAATATTAGCAATTTTTATTGTTCAAAATACTGTAAATGGTAAATTTTGATTTTTTTTTTTTGGGTTTAAACTTCGGGGGACTTAACTAGTTCTGAAAAGTGTTGATTCCAAAAATAATTTGCATTTAGAGAGGCTGTATGTAATGACATTTTATTTATTTTCTCTATATTTAGGGAATAATTATTATTGTAATTTCTTGTACAATAAGTGATTCTCTTTTTATAAGTCGATTTTGGTGAATATTTATCCTGCGCATTTTCATGGGTTGAATTTTATATACTGTGCCATATTAGGATTAGATCTGACAAGTGAAGGCTTGAAAATGCGCGGGAGTACTCAAAAATTTTCATACTAAACTACTTTTTAGTGTAGGGTTTACAAATTGCTATCTAGGCCATTTAATCACTTTTACACAGTTATTAAATAGCCTGAAGTTAGTCTTGATCAAAATAATGACAATTATTTTTATTCGATATTATTTGTTTAAGTATACTTTTTTTGCCAGTAGTTATGTTCTGTATAATATACAGATTTTTTTTAATTGTTTAAAACATTGTGGGTAATTATTAATTAATTTTATTGTCAATATTGTAAAATAATTTATTGATTGTGATAAAAAAATTGAATATTTTAAATGATGGAGTCTGTTGTTTTTGTTTGGGAACTTTTCAGATTATTGCTTACAGGACTGGCAACCTGGCAAAACAGGTTGATACTTGGCATTTTTATTCAAGAAATCTGGAGGTGCCCATCTTCAGTGCGAAGAATCGAGTTTTTAATTTTCTTGCATCTTGCATCTGCTCCAAATAAAAAGTTGTACTAAATTTTATATTCATAGAAAAATTAAGGACTCATTTTGCCTTACTGAATGTGAGGGCAACAAATTATTGCTAGTTGGGCAGGAGTTTTTTTATTGATTATTCCAGCAGGTAACCATAGAAGTACATTATCGAACAAACAAATTGATAAGTAAGTATGCAAATTAATTCGCACTAAAAAATGGTTCTTTGCATCGGGCCTGAAGCTTCTGGCAAAAGTTTGCTTATAAAAAAAATCCAAAATCCAGACAATGTTGACGAGACCACCACTTCCGTACCCACTGTAGGAACTAATATATCGAATCTTCAAGTCAAAGATAAAATTTACACTATAAGAGAAGTTGGAGGAAAGTACCTACATGTATCAATAATTATTATTTGTTTTTTTTTTAGTTGTTTATTTTTTATTTATTCTAGCTCATAGCTTAGGCTAAAAAACTCTTACAATTTTATTGTCTAAATCGATATATAATAATGTAAATTTTTGTTAATTCAGGAGCTATAGCGCCAATATGGCCTAAATATTTCAACAACGTTGGAAAAGTAATGTACGTAGTTGACGCTTCGAATTTATGCCAAATATCAGCAGCAGGAGTGCTTTTATATACAGTCTTGGTAAATCCTTTATTACAAAATGCAAAGGTAATTAACTAATTGATTAATATGTAGTTACTAATAAACAAAATGTAGTTTCTTTTAGTTTTAACAAAAATGGACGCCAGTTATCGACAAATGAGAAACGAGGCCTTATTGATGCTCCAAATGAAAAGGCTACAAAAAGAAATAAAACAAAAAATTACTATCGTGGAAGCGAGCGCTATAACTGGAGTGGGGAGAGAAGAAATAATAAAATGGATAACCGATGCATAAACACTTACTAGTGGCGTTATAAAATAAACTGAATAAGCCAGGATTTGATTTTTAAATGTAGTATGACTGGATTGAATAAAAATATTTAGGATGAATAATTATCTAGTGTTAATTTCATTTAGTAATTCAACATGACTTGCTGCTATTGTGATGTCAAATAAAGAATCATAATGGTTTTGATACATAATGCTCAGTTTGGGTTGGAGGACATTTACTTACCATGCAAGAATTAAGAGGCACTTTTCTCCAAGATTTCTCAAGAAATCATTTACCATTATGATCAAAAATAAAGATGACTGAAATGTGAGCAATGAGAGCAAATTGAGAACTATACAGAGCCAATCTGGAAGAAAATCTCAAAGTAATCAACCCGGAAAGAATAGGTCATCAACTAGAACTGGAAGAGAAAGTAGAGCACGTCAACCAGGCAGTAATAGAAGCATTTGACTCTAACTGCCCCAAGGATTTGAAAAAATCATCGAATGGGGCCCCATGGTGGAATGTAAACCTGTCATGCCTCCGGACCCAAGCTCGATCGATATTCATTCAACACAGCAAGGAGCACCGGAAAGTGGCAGGGTTACACAGAGGCTCTCACAAATTATAACAAAGAAATCAGGAAAGCAAAAAGAAACAACTTAAGGTCTTTCTGTGAAAACATCAAATGACTCCAATCGCCGCTAGACTGCACAGGGCAATGGCTAAAGAGGGAACAAGTTCGACCATGGCTCTGAAAAAGTCAGATGGTACTTATACGGAAGGAGAACAGGAATGTGCGCAGGTAGTAAACCAACAAACAGAAGTGAGGAAAGAGCGAACCCCAGATGACCCTCTAGGGAGGAATGGGAAACTAAAAACACAGTACTTGTTAGGGCAAGTAAATAAACTTATGTATATTTCTCCAATATATCGTTGCCGTTGACCAGCTGAAAACAAGTGACGGAGAATTTTGTTCGTCGCCAAGGAAAGATTGTTTAATTATTGTCACATTGTCAAATTATTAATATATTTTGTAATTTTGTATTGAAAATTCAATTCAACGATCAGTTTCATTTATACAGTCCACTGTTGGAGCTAACATTTGGTCCTATCGACACGGATACGTTATTGTTTTCTCCAGTCAATTTTCGCAGTCAAGGCGGGGAAGGGCCAAGGCGGTCATTGTTCTATCTGTTCCTGTTGGCATTGGCTCAGTTAAATGGTTCAACCGGGTGACGTTGGTGTAGCACCTTAGGCCAATACAGGGAGTTCCAGTCTGGAATATTAGTCGACAAAGTGTTGTAAGTCCGTTCTATTAATTATTACAGCATAGATAATTGGCAATTCATTTGGTTTTGTGTTGTGTTTGAGATCTGGTAAGTAAGTACTGGAATCATTTATTGCGCAGTTGTTGCCTTTTATATTTTTCAGCTTTGAATATTATGGTTATTATGGCGGATTTACGCAAATTGAAATTGAAAAGAGGTACTCTGAAAGGTAATTTAACTAGAATGAAAGGGTTTCTCGATAAACTTGATTTAGAAAAGCTATCCGAATTAGACTTGATTCAAATCGAAACTTGGCTAGAAAATGTTGAACCTCTTTTATCTCAGTTTAATGATGTCCAGACGGATATAGAGTGTCAATTGTCTTTAGATACAACAGCTGAGGGTGTTGAGGTAGATATAGATGTCATTATTGAATCTGAAAATCCACTGAAAATGTTGAAAGGTTTAATTTTGAAAAAGAATATTTTTCTATTCTCAGTAGAATTAAATCAATTTTGAACAATTCAGGTGTTGACAATCAGTCAGGTAGCGGTGGAGCATCTCGTGCTAGTATTGCTCCACAGCAAGTGAGTCAAAAACCGTCTATAAAGTTGCCTGATCTAAAATTACCTGTTTTTGATGGCTCTTATGGCAAGTGGCTCGAATTTAGAGATGCCTTTCGTGCTATTGTCCATGAGAATGTGCATTTATCGGACGTGGAGAAGTTCTTCTATTTGAAATCTTTTCTTAGTGAAGAACCATTGCATGCAATTGCTAATTTCCAGGTTACTAATGACAATTATCCCAATGCTTGGACTATCTTGACCGATAGGTATGAAAACAATCGTCTAATTATTTATAATTATATCAAGGATTTGTTTGATTGTCCAAAAGTCATGAAAGAGTCATATACTGAGCTTAGAAAAGTTTACGATATATTCAATAAAAATTTAAGATCTTTGAAAAGCCTTGGTCAGGAAGTTGAGCATTGGGACACACTCATTGTATTCATGCTCACAAATAAATTCGATCTCATAACTCTTCGAGAATGGGAATATTTTCAGGTAAAAAGTAACGAACTTCCTAGCTTAGAAGACGTTAACAAATTCTTGAACGCAAGATGCGAGTTATTGGAAAAGTTGGAATCCTCAAAAATGGAAATTAAATCAGAAAAAATTAAATGTCATTTGGCAGCTACGCCACAAAATAAATTTTCTTGTTATTTTTGTAATAAGCCACACTCCATTTATAAATATTTCGCATTCAGGAATTTGAATGTGCAAGCTCGACTCGCAGCTATAAGTGAATTAAAATTGTGTTTGAATTGTTTTAGTCCAGAACACACAAGCAACTGTTCAAAGTCGAGCTCTTGTCGTCATTGTGGCCAGAAACATAATTCACTATTGCATTCTGAGGAGTATCCGGTGCCCCCGTCAGCTGAACCTGGGAGTGCTGTTGTGTTGAGCGCCATGACTCCGTCCACTGAATCTGGGAAAAATTATAATACGACGTTATCACTGCTAGCCACTGCTAAAATTCGAGTTCTAGGTAGGGACGGAGTGATTTACATTGTTCGAGCCTTACTTGATCCAGGATCGCAGAGCAATTTCATGTCGGAAAGTTTGGTTAACAGACTGGGTCTCCAGAAACATTGCGTTAATTTCAAAATTATTGGAGTAGGTCAAGCGTTGTCAGCTACGGCGAGTTCCAGAGTAGATGTGACTGTCATGTCGAATGTAAATAATGATTTCGAAGAAACTATTCCTTGTTTGGTCATTTCCAAAATAACTCAGAATTTGCCATCGGTGTCCTTTGACATTTCCAAATGGAATATTCCCAAAAATGTAAGTTTAGCTGACGAAGCATTCAATTCACGAGGTAACATCGACATATTGTTAGGTAATGACGTATTCTTCAGAATACTGCTTATGAAACAAATTCGTTCTACTGGTATGCCAGTTCTTCAAAAGACTAGATTGGGCTGGATTATTGGTGGTAACTTTAATCCGTTATGTGCTTTCAATTCTCAGGACAGGGTAATGGCATGTCTTTCGTTAGAGCAGAAAATAGATCGAGACTTGACAAAATTCTGGGAACTAGAGGAATGTGACTGGAATGTAAAGGTTATGTCTAAGGCCGTAGAATATTGCGAAAGTAATTTTGTCAACAACTTTTCTCGCGATTCTAAAGGTCGTTTTGTTGTCAAATTTCCATTCAAAGAAACTGTTGGTCAACTAGGTTTTTCCAGGCAAATGGCTTATAAGAGATTACTTTTTTTGGAAAAACGCTTACACAAGGACGCATGGTTAAAGAAAGAATATGTCTCGTTTATTAATGAATACAGCGATCTTGGTCATATAACGAAAATTACAGACTTTTCGATGGATTCGAGGGATTCAAATAAGTATTTTTATCTACCACATCATGCAGTTGTCAAACAAGCCAGTTTGACAACCAAGGTCCGAGTTGTCTTTGATGCTTCAGCACAAAGCGATACTGGGGTTTCTTTAAATGACGTGCAATATGTGGGCCCAACCATTCAAAATGATTTATTATCTATTCTTCTAAATTTTCGAATTTTTCCCTATGTGATCAATGCTGATATTGCGAAGATGTACCGACAAGTCTT